TTAATTAGACCCCTAAAGACTCCTGGTTCTGTCGTACAGCCGCAAGCTGCGATTTCTCCGTGCTGTCGAACAGCAACAAACAACAACCAATCAACAGAGATTTACTCATAAAAACGAGGTTCGCGCGAACCATTCAGATGAGAACAGGGCTGACTAAATGCCTCATCGCTGAGCCGCAGGCTCAACTCCACCGACAGGCACAGTCGCGCACGATTTAAAGTACCATCCGCGCCGTAATCAACATCACATGAACCGCTGAGTCAGTGGCAGAACTCAAACCTACTGGGGTGGTTAGGAATTATCAGGTCATCCGTAGTGGGCGCGAGATATGGTTAACTGCCAAGGATATAGGAACTCAAAGTGGTTAGTACTCTTCCGTGTCAGTAATTGTGTCTGTTCTGGCCCCCCAACCAATCCTTTGCACGCGGTCTCAGTAGGATTTCCTTTTTTTCGGATTCAAGGCATCCTTCAATATTTCTGATAAGTAGATCGGGGATTTGGTTGTGGCGTCACGTGCTTCCCTCACAAAATATTCACGGCGACAATGACAGTCTGTGAAAGTCAGCTTTGAGGTGTGCTTAACAGACTGTGTCAAAAAGGGTCAGCTGAAATGTCTGATGCAAAAAAAGACGCTTAACTTGAAAGCAATACAGACAACCCCTGAAATCTACTGGAGAAACAAGTACACCAAGGGCTGGGAGTGGACCGCTAACAGTCACCTTTACAACTATGTCAATCCTTCCCACATTGATTTCCAAAAAATGCCAACTGCGTAATATTTGGGGCACCAAATTATGCAGAATAAGCTGGCAACTGTCAAGTAAATGCAAAATCAAAACACAAAAGGAAAAATTACTGTCTGGAAAAGGGGACAACCACAAGAGGTCGTGCAGTGAGAAAGAGAGAAAACAATTAAACGAAACCCTCGTTGATGAACGTTCACCCGACCGCAAACAGAACTAATCTGTACCGCTATGTCTTGGGACTCGAAAGAGGCCCTGACAGCTGTACCAGCTGGTAGTATAGGTAGAAAGTATTGCCGACAAAGACAAGGGAGACTGGGATGGCCACTTCTGGTTCATTAACCGTCGTCAACCAGCCACGCCCAGACCCAAGTGGCGTCACACCTGAGCCTTGAACTCGCGACCTCAGCAGCAGTTCGTTGGCTCTTCTTGAATTCAGGAGTCAATGCATATTAGGCGTCGAGTTTTGCCACTTTCTCGACGATCGACAAGTCGACGCGTTACGATGGCTTTCGTTTGGCCATGGTGCCACGCCTATGAATGAAAACCAACTTTAAATTTTTCGAGACCTAGGGAGGCTAGCCAGACGACCTTGG